CTCTCTTCTCTCTTCTCTCTTCTCTCTTTTTCTCTCTCTCTCTCTCTCTCTCTCTCTCTCTCTCTCTTCTCTCTTCTCTCTTTCTCTCGCCTGTCTCCTCTCTCAACTCCCCCTCTCTCTCTCTCTCTCCGCTCTCTCTCTCTCTCTCTCTCTCTCTCTCTCTCTCTCGCTTCCTCTCTCTCTCTCTCGCTCTCTCTCTCTCTCTCTCTCTCTCTCTCTCTCTCTCTCTCTCTCTCTCTCTCTCTCTCTCTCTCTCTCTCTCTCTCTCTCTCTCGCTCTCTCTCTCTCTCTCTCTCTCTCTCTCTCTCTCGCTCGCGCTCGCGCTCGCGCTCTCTCTCTCTCTCTCTCTCTCTCTCTCTCTCTCTCTCTCTCTCGCTCTCTCCCGCTCTCTCTCTCTCTCTCTCTCTCTCTCTCTCTCTCTCTCTCTCTCTCTCTCCTCTCTGCTCTCTTCGCTACTGGCTTCTGACGGAGTCTGGGTTAGGTGAGCCTGAGTGTGGGTGAGTCTGAGTATGGGTACGTCTGTGTGTGCCTGACTCTGAAGAAATGAATCTGAGTGTGAGTGAGCTTGTGTATGAGTGAGTCTGGGTGCGAGTCTGAATCCCAATGGTGCCCCTGGCAGTGTCTGGCGACTAGGAGGCCCGGGTCGACTCCTCTTTGGGAAGCCAAAATGCTGCCCCTGGCAGCGTTTGGTGACTATGAAGCCCCTGGTGGACCCCCCCTGGGGCTCCCAAATGATGCCCCTGGCAGCGTTTTGTGACCATGAGGCTCTCAAGAGATACATGTTGGGGAGGCCAAACGGCAATTCTAGCTGAGGCGTCCCACCAAAATCGGCGCGAACGGGCTCGTGAGATCAGCCAGGGTGGCTCCCCCTTGGGGCTCCCAAATGATGCCCCTGGCAGCGTTTTGTGACCATGAGGCTCTCAAGAGAGACATGTTGGGGAGGCCAAACGGCAATTTTAGCTGAGACGTCCCACCAAAATCGGCGCGAACGGGCTCGTGAGATCAGCCAGGGTGGCTCCCCCTTGGGGCTCCCAAATGATGCCCCTGGCAGCGTTTTGTGACCATGAGGCTCTCAAGAGATACATGTTGGGGGCGCCAAACGGCAATTCTAGCTGAGACGTCCCACCAAAATCGGCGCGAACGGGCTCGTGAGATCAGCCAGGGTGGCTCCCCCTTGGGGCTCCCAAATGATGCCCCTGGCAGCGTTTTGTGACCATGAGGCTCTCAAGAGAGACATGTTGGGGAGGCCAAGCGGCAATTTTAGCTGAGACGTCCCAGGCGCGAACGGGCTCGTGAGATCAGCCAGGGTGGCTCCCCCTTGGGGCTCCCAAATGATGCCCCTGGCAGCGTTTTGTGATCATGAGAGAGTGTGAGTGTGAGTGAATGTGACTGTGAGTGAGTCTGGGTGAGAGTGAGTCTCATCTTATCTTATCGAATCCTATCTTATCTCACCTTTACTACCCTCTATCTTATCTTATCTTGAAATCCCTTATTTTGTCTTAGCTTATCTTATATCAACTCATCTTGTCGCATCATGTCTTGTCTTATCCTATTACTCCATAGGCTGTCTGATCTTATCTATTATCCTACCTTGTCATATATCTTATCATACCTTATCATATCTTGTGCTATCTTATCTTATCTTGTAGTATCTTATCTTGTCTTGTCTTATCTGGTGATTATCATTGGGAGGAGGGAGGCGCGAGCGGGAGGAAGGAGGAAGGAGGAGCAGTGGGAGGCGTCAGAGTAATAACAAGAACCCCAATCCTTAGGATATGGGGAATAATCCCATGTATTAAAAACTGCCCTGTATATTCAGGTGGCTCACGCTTTCCTGCCGACCCCCAGAAGAGGGATGAAGTCCACGCTTCAGTCCTTTGGGCCTTTGGGGGGATCTCCGGGGGCCTTTTTGGGGGCCTCTTGGGGGCCTCTTCGGGCCACTTGGGAGTTTCCTGGGCGCCTGCTGGCGCTCTCGGGGGTCCTCTTGGGATGAGGGCTCGGAGTGTCAGTTCGAGTTGCATCTCTTGGGCCCCTCTCGGGGCCCTGTTGGGGCTCTCTTGGGCCGTCTTGGAGCCCCTTGGGCCGTCCTGAGGCCCTCTTCCGCCGTCTTGTGGCCCTCTTCGGAGCTTCTTGGGCCGTCTTGGAGCGATCTTGGGGGCCTGTTGAGACGCCTTGGACGCTGCTAAGACGCATCAAGCGAATGTGCAGTAATTAGATGCTGCCCCGAAGGATTTTTGACGCTTCTGGCCTCTGGACGCCCTCTCGGGGGTCGTCTTGGCAGCCCTCACTGGTGCGTCTTGGAGCCCTCTGGGCGGCAGCAGTCTTGCGGCCCTCTTGGTCGTCTTTGAGGACTCGGAGCCGAGCTCGAGCCAGCTTAGATCTCATCCTGGCCATCCTGGGGGCCCCTGGCCCCATCCCCCCTCTAGTTCGATTTCAGATCCCAGGGGAGTGGCACACCAGCCAATCATCTCACACGTCTTTGCGCCCACGGCAAGCGGGGGTCGGCTGATTTGAATATCAGAGCAGGGCTGGACCTAAACGGTGTTTTGGCGATTTCGTGGGCCGTTTTCGTTTCGACTTCGTTTTGCGGTAAACGCGGATTTAAGACAAAACGAGGGAAAACGAAAACGATCAACACCGTTTAGGTTCAGCCCAGTTTCAGACCCCAGGGGAGGGGGGAAGGGTGAGGGGCACGCCAGCCAATCATCTCACTCCTCTTTCTGCGCCCCCGGCAAGCGAGGGTCGGCGGACTTGTATAGCAGAGCCCCCCCCCAGCCCGCCTCGCACACCCTGCATACCGCGGCCGCCGTGCCCACAGTGTGCTGGTGCTCCCTGGGGATCCCGCCTGAACGACGACTGCATACCGCGGCCGCCCGGCCCAAAGTGTGCCGGTGCTCCCTGGGGATGGCCCGGGAGCTCTCGTTTTTCGCCGCACCTCGGGGGTCATCTTGGTTTTGCTCTTCGTGGTGCTCTCGTCTTGCTCATCTTCGTTCTTCAGGAGGGGAAAAAACACACAGACACAATTAATCGTCGACTCCCAAGAAAATATGGGAAAATATGGGAAGTGGGGGGGAAGACAGAAGCCCAGAACATATTGGAAAATACGGGGCATCCTGTGATTTGTGTGTATATTCGTGTGTGCGTCCCAGGGCCCCTTCAGTTCTGCTCTCGTTCTGCTCCTCTCGTGCCTGGCCTCGGAGCCCCGCGGCGGCCCCCCTGGGCGCCGAGCTCTCGCCGCTGGGCGCGCGGCGTCGCCCGCGGGCCTGCCGCGGCGCCCAAAGGTCGGGGGGTCTCCAGGCTCCCTGCCGGGAGGTCTCCTCGGGGGTCGGGGCCCCCAGTCTCCTCCTCCCCTCCCCCCTCCCCTCCTCCCTCCTCCCCTCTCCTCCTCCTCCTCCTCCTCCTCCACCTCCTCCTGTTCCTCCCCCTCCTCCTCCTCCTCCTCCTCCTCCTCCTCCTCCTCCCTCCTCCTCCTAAGGGTCGGGGCCCCCAGCCCTCGGGCTCCTCGAGGTCGGCCCTGGATCGCGGGCTCCGCAGGGTCGGCGCCTGGAAGGTCGGGCCTCGGGGCCCCTCGAGGTCGGCCCTCTCGGGCCCCCTCCTGCATCGCGTCCCCCGAGCAGGGCTTGCTCTTGCGGGCTCGTGGTGCCGCCGCGGCCGCGAGGGGGCCCCCTGCGTGGAGGTCCCCTCGGCGGCCCCCCTGCGCATGCACACGGCAGGCGGCCTCTACAGTGGAAGCCCATGCCCTCCTTCTCCTCCTCCTCATCCTCCTCCTCCTCCTCCTCCTCCTCCTCCTCCTCCTCCCCTCCTCCTCCTCCTCCTCCTCCTCCTCCTCCTCCTCCTCCCTCCTCCTCCTTCTCCTCCTCCTCCTCCTCCTCCTCCTCCTCCATCTCCTCCATCTCCTCCATCTCCTCCATCTCCTCCATCTCCTCCATCGCCTCCATCGCCTCCTCCTCCTCCTCCTCCTCCTACTCCTACTCCTACTCCTACTCCTCGGGTCGCCTACGGTCCCAGGGGAAACGGTGCACCGCGGCCCCCCTTCGCATGCACACAGCAGACAGCCTCTACAGTGGAAGCTCATGCCAAAAATCACCTCGCTTGCCTTCGGGGCTCCCTGGGCCTCTTGGGTTTCGATGGTTTTGCGATGGAAAGCGCGACGCTCCCACCAAAAGTCAATGGAAGTCCTGGGTCTCAGGGTTGGGTTTCTTGTGGAAGGTTTCTCGTGGACTGGCCTCCACTGTATATCGATCCTCGTCGGTGCGCAGACGGGGGCGCAGGACGAGGGGGGGGTGGGCCCCGCCTCTCCGAGGAAGCGCGAGCACAGACTGCAGTCGAGATCGATAGTAGGGATGGTCAACCTTCCCAGGGGTGCCCTTGCATCTTTGCATCGATTGCCAATCCCGCTCGCAAAGCTTCGACGTGGGCAGGACGGCTTACAACAGGCGCGGATACACGCTGACATGGATCAGGGGACGCGTCAGGTCGGGCATGTCCTTCTACAGCCATATCTTGGAAAAACAAAATAGTAAAACAATTAGAACGACAAATCGTCACGAGACTATGTGTTACTTTTCTTGAATATTCCTCCTGTAGAGGGTCATGCCCGACTCAAATCTGGCGCGTGGTCCCCCTTATCCACGGATATCGGGAAGAAGTACCCCCCGAAACGTGGGGTCAGTGTCGCCCGAGTTGACGACGGCGCGCGCCGTCTGTGTACGGAAGCCGCCGACGTCGCCGATGCATCGGCGACGTCGGCGCGATCCTCTGACCCCATCTGGGAGGCCCGTGACGTCATGATTGTTTCATAACGTCGACCCCCAGCGGTCTCGACCCAGTCCCCGGGGCCAGTTTCTCACCCTGATTCGTTTTTAGACGACCCCGGGGCCCAGCGATGACCCCCAGAGATCGACGATAGCGAAACAGTTGTTTTGTTGGTACTCGAGGGGGTTCTTGGGGAATCTGGATGACTTCTGCTGAAGGCTCCCCACCCCCGATGCTCGCAGCAGTGGGTGCCCTCCCGCTCCCGATCCTCTCGGGATTCGTCGTGTGCGTCGTGCAGCTGCTGCTGGGCCTCCTCGGGCGGCGCGCGTTCCCGGCCTCGCGCAGGCTGCGCCGCCGTCGCGTCGTAGTCCATCGGCGTCGATGGTGATTCATAACCAGGGGACGAGAGGGATGATAAGGAGGAGGAGGAGGAGGAGGAGGAAGAGGAGGATGAGGAGGACTGAGGAGGAGGAGGAGGAGGAGGAGGAGGAGGAGGGGGTGGGAGGAGGAGGGAGGAGGAGGAGGAGGCGAGGGAGGACCGCGACGAGAAGGAGAGGAGCCACGACACCAGGGCCATCAGCAACCAGTGCCCAGGAGGATGATGACGGAGGAGGGGAGGAAGGGAGGAAGGGAGGAAGGGAGGAAGGGAGGAAGGGAGGATGGGAGGATGGGAGGACGGGAGGGAGGGAGGGATGGGAGGGAGGAGGAGGAGAAGGAGGAGGAGGAGGGGCGGAGAAGGAGGAGGATAGGGAGCAGGGAGGAGGAGGAGGAGGAGGAGGAGGAGGAGGGGGAGGGAGGACGGAGCAGGAGGAGGAGGAGGAGGACGACGAGAAGGAGAGGAGCCACGCACCAGGGCCATCTGCAGCCAGCCCCCAGGAGGATGATGGATGGGGAGAGGGAGCGAGGGGAGGGAGGGAGGGAGGGAGGGAGGGAGAGGGGAGGAGGAGGAGGAGGAGGAGGAGGAGGAGGAGGAGGAGGAGGAGGAGGAGGAGTGAGGAGGAGGAGGAGGAGGAGAGGAGGAGGAGGAGGAGGAGGAGGAGGAGGGGAGGAGGAGGAGAGGAGGAGGAGGAGGAGAGGAGGAGGAGGCGGAGGAGAGAGGAGGAGGAGGAGAGAGGGAGGAGGAGGGGAGGAGGGAGTAGGAGGGAGGAAGGAGCAGGAGGAGGAGGAGGAGGAGGAGGAGGAGGGAGGAGGAGGAGGAGGAGGAGGGAGAGGGAGGAGGAGGAGGAGGAAGGGAGGTGGGAGCAGGGAGGAGGGAGAAGAAGGAGGAGGAGGGAGGAGGAGGAGGAGGAGGAGGCCGAGAAGGAGGAGGAGGAGGAGGAGAAGGAGGAGGATAGGGAACAGGAGGAGGAGGAGTTGGAGGAGGCGGAGGATGAGAGCGATGCTGATACTGATGATGATGATGACGCGGATGCGGATGATGATGCTTATGCTGATGTTGATGATGATGATGATGATGATGATGATGATGCTGATGATGATGATGATGATGATGAGGAGGAAGAGGAGGAGGAGGAGGATGATGATGATGATGATGATGATGATATTCATGTTGATGATGATGATGATGTTGGTGCTGTTGATGATGATGATGATGGTGGTGGTGATGATGAGGTTGATGTTGATGCTGATGCTGATGCTGATGCTGCTGATGATTATGATGATGATGGTGGTGGTGGTGGTGGTGATAATGATGATGATGATGATGAGGAGGAGGAGGAGGAGGATGATGATTTTGATGATGATGATGAGGCGGATGATGATGATTCTGATGATGGTGATGATGATGATGATTATGATGATGGTGATGATGGTGATGATGATGGTGGTGGTGATGATGATGATGGTGATGATGATGATGATGCTGATGCTGATGCTGATGCTGATGCTGATGCTGATGCTGATGATGATGATGATGATCATGATGATGATGATGATGCTGATGATGATGATGATGATGATGATGATGATGATCATGATGATATGATGATGATGATGTTTGTGCCCCACGGGAATGATCGGGCCTTTGCATCCGCTTCTTCCGCTCTGCAGGCTTTTTGGTTCAGGAGTGAAGGGAGGCCTTCGGCTTTCTGCTGGCCACTCCCTCACCCTTCGAGAGTGGCCCTCTTCCGATACCTGGCTTCCTGTCGCCCGTGGATTGCCATCGGAGGGGCCTCCGTCCCATCCTGCCGTGACGGGCGTGTGCTTCCTGCTGGCCGAGCGGGGGAGTCGCCCCTCGTAGTGCGTGTGCCAGCGTGACTGCCACGTGAGTCCACTGGCGGCGGAGGCAGCTGGGGCGCCCTGTACCTGTCCGTCGTCGCCGTGTCGTGTTGGCGGGCGCCTTCCTCTCTGGTGTGAGTTTCGGGCGCGGCCTTATCCAGTCCACGACGTCCGCGCGCGTGTTTGTCGACTGCCCCACCACGGACAGTGACAATGGCCACGCCCGCGGGGGTTCAGCACCTGGAGGTCGTTGTGCCGGTCCTCGTCTGCTATCTCTTTGGCGCGGGCGAAGTGGTGGTGGGATGTCCTGAGCGGGTTCCGCTGGCCCGCCTCGTGTGCACCAACTGGGTCGTCCCTTCGCGGGACTTCGACATCTTCGAGGAAAGGTTGGGCGAGAGTGACGGGCGTCAGAAGTTCGGTACGGGAGGTGCGGTACCTGCCGCGGTTCGGGGCTCGCCGGCGTTCCTCCCCGTCTGCTTCACGTTCGGGAAGGTTCCCCAGTACTACATGGACGTTGCCGAGGCGGTGGTGGCGCATATGAGCGAGTGGCGCCACGTCACCATCGACAGGTGCCCGTTCCCGCTGACGAACGACACGGTGCCGGGGGATGGTCTCGAGGGCTCGGCGGAACCCGCGGGACCAGTGGCGGCGGAGGCGTCGTGCATCCTGTTCGCAGTGAGGGACTGGGTACGCTGTCCCCGTCGCTCGTCTTCGGGCGCCTGGCATGCCAGGAGTGAGGTCGACTTCGGCACCAACTGGGAGATTAAAGGGCCACGGTCGACTCGCCGCGCGGCGGTCCGCATCCACGAGGGGAACCATGAGCCTGTTCAGCAGTACTAAGGGTGGCGCTACGCGCTGGGATTGGCGGCTTCGGATGCGGTGGTTGACGAACACTGGTGGCTGTCCCAGCTGATGGAGGCTCTGCTGACGATTGACTTTGGTCAGGTCGGCGCCCTGGTGGCTTTCGAGCTGAATATTCGCCGCCACCAGATGTGGGAGAGCATGCGAGGATCCCATGCGCCAGATGGACGCGGGCCCCGCCGATGGCGACGACTGGCTCATCGAGCGCTCGCTGTCCCTTGGCGTTGAGGGCCTGCGCAGCAGCTTCATCATGATGCCAGAGTTGGAGGACTTCGCGGTGATGGAGCCCGCCACCTGCGTGGCTGTCCTGAAGGAGTGCCGCAAGGCTCGGGAGAAGGCCGCCCTGGCCCAGGGCGTCGACGCCCCGTCGGCGAAGCAGGCCGCCATGGAGAAGAGGGGTGATCAGGGAGGAGGTGGTCGTGCTTGACCGTCGTCCTCCTCATTCCTGCGCCGCCGCGAGGGGGTCTGCCCCGCCTCCTCGAGGGCAAGCCGCAGGGGTTCAGGGATCGGCGGTGGGTGCTGCCCCGAGGTGTTTTTCAAGCTCCACATGACGCGTCAACGGGGCGTCCTGCCCATTTCTCTGGCTGCCGCCTCAGAAGTCTTGCTGGGAGGATCCAGCGGCGCGGAGCTTTCGCAGAGTCAGCTGCGTGCGCGGCGGCGTCGAGCTCGGGAGGGGTAGCAATCGCGTCGATGCGATCAGGGCTGGGGCGTCCCCCGAGGACTGCGCCCACGTAGACCTGTGGAACTCAATCGTTTCTCATTGCCGCAGCGGCGCGCTTGCCGCGCGATAGATCAACGGACTCCTCGACGCCGCGGGGGGCCCAGGAGCGCGGCGTGTCGCCCGAGCATCGCTCAGGCAACACTGTGGCTGACCGCCTCGCGGGAGCGGCGGCCGAGGCTCGGCTGTCTCCGCTGGCGCCGCACCAGGGGCGCGAGCGGCAGCTGGTTTGTCTCACGGCCGTGCAGCGCGTGCTCGCCACTGTGGAGTTCGAAGCGCGCCAACCGCGGCCACGGCCTGAGAGGCCCGCGCGCGCGGCGGCGTTGGACGCAGGCGGGGCATCGCCGTCGCCGCGCGCCCCGCGTGGCGGACGACGCTGCGGCGGTGGCGGCAACGGCCCCACTGGCGGATCAAGGGCCGACGCGCGCGGCACAAGGCCCAGCGGTGGCCGCCGCGGCTTGGGGGCAGGGGCCACCGCATCCCAAGGGTTGGACGGCCTTGGTGGCGTGAATAGCCGCGTGTGTTCGGCCCCGCGCTGGGGACGCCTCGCGAGCCGTCCGTGCAGCGGCTGGGCCTCGCGGGCGGCCCCGTCCTGCTGCGCTTCGACGCCGCGCGCGCCGAGGGCTGCGAGGCGGCTTTTGGCGGGCGGCCGTGCGGCTCTGCCTGTCGGAGCTCACAGGTCACCAGCCTCGAACTGATCCCTATCCCTAAGATTGACGCGCACAAAGTCGATGACAATCTTAGGGACGCGCCCTGAAAAAAAAACTAAGGGAATCCCGAAGATTGGCATCTTGATGAGGCGATGCCCAGCTTTGAAATAGGGATGTGTTCCAGGCTGGTAAACAGGGGCGCCTGACTCGTTAATTGGTTGCGCAGTGGCCGTCTTGGGCAGCCACTGCCCCCCGCGTGCTCGCTGGGACGCGTTGTTGAAACCTGTGTCGCTCAATGTGTTCCTGTTCCTCCTCCTCTTCTTCCGGCTTTTCCGCGCACGTGTTTTGGCATTGCGGTGCACATTTGCGTTGAGTTACACACGGTTGCGTTAGTATACACAGGCGTTGTGGTGTACACGTGCGTTGCGGTGCGCACGCATGTTTTTGTTGCAGCAGCGGTGGTGATCAAAAGTTAGGTGATCTATAGAGGCATCGTGGTGTACACAGGCAACGTGGTGTAAACGCGCAGAGTGTTGCGCACACCAATTGTGATATGCAGGAAGATTGTTGTCCGCACTGTTGGCGCACACAGGCATTGTGGTGTACAGAGGCACCGGGGTGTGTACAGGCGTTGTTTTTCACACTGGCCGCATCGGGTGCTCGCAAACACTCTGGTTTTCACAGGCGTTGTGGTACATGCGGGCATTGTGGTGTGCATTGGGGGGCCCTCCACGGGGAAACTGGCACGCACAGGCGCTGCACCACTGCATCCCTTACAGGTCCCTACCTGCATGCAAATTTGCGATGTCCTTAGCCATTCCGAGGCACTCCCAGGCGTCGCTGGCGCGAAATGTGATCTTACAAAGAGGTGTGGGGAGCGGGGCCGTTATCGTAGAGTTTTGTAGCGCGCTATTTCAGAGGGATCCTGGAAGTCTTTGGAGGTTTCTGGAGGTATCTGGAGATCGTCGGAGGTCTTCTGGAGATCTTCGGAGGCCGCGCGAGTTGAAGGCATCCGCGAAGGAAGTCGAGCCGAGTCGATTCGGGTCAGTACTCCTTCAGAAGGCGCCAGTGAGTACTACGCTCGCGCCGCCGTCTCGTGGCCAGGCGCATCCCAGAAGCGTGAGTCTACAGACGTCCAGAAGCTCCGTCATTGATTCTTGAATCCGAGGGCATGTATGCGACTCCATCGCTTAAACGAGCGGGGTAGGCCGCTGACATTTGCAATCAGGTTGCCCGCGGAAGCAGCCTTGTTTTTTCCACCTGGTGTGCTACATTGGCGACCTGATCAAGCCATCGCACAAGGTCGCCGCGCGTTCGCCAAGGGTCGCCCCGGACAGGATCGCTTGTTCTGCGAAGATAGCGCCTTCCCGAAGCAGGGTGGGCCCTTACGCGGCCCACCACCACCACCACCCCCTCACCCCCATCCCTCTCCCAGGAAGGAGGAGGAGGGGAAGAGGAGGGTAGTGGGAGGGGGAATGGAGGTGGTGGTGGTGGTGGTGGTGGTGGTGGTGGTGGTGGAGGCCTGCAGCCCTCTCATCTTCGTCTCTGTTCCGAGGCTGGGTTTTTATGTATACCTCCACAGCCTGGGGGTGGCGGTCTTCGGGGACCTCGGGAGGCGGTGGAGATGGGCATATTCAGCCCCCCTTTCTGGGGGCTAGCGGTATTCGATACCTCCTCCTCCTCTTCCTCCTCTTCCCCCTCCTCCCTCTCCTCATCCTTCCTCCTCCTCCTCCTCCTCCTCCACATAGGCTCCTCATGCGATGGATATGTATAAGGGCGGGCCTCGCACTAGTCGACGTCGCCCTCGTGCTGCTCGGAAAGCAATGTGGAACAGTCCATACTCGCCGCCCTGCCTGATCTCGCGGGGTCATGCTTTCGCTCGCCGCGTCGTCCTGTCGGCCCCTCTGCTCGATGGGTTTCGCTATCGACGCGTAATTCGTTGTCTTTGGCCTTCTCTAAGCTTCGGGGCCTCATCATTCGATGGAGCCCATGTGGAGTGCAGACTACACACATGGAAGCCTCTGGACAGTAGTAAGAACCGCCCCCAGGTCTCTTAACCTCCGCGTACCTCGGGTCATACATCCGAATCCTCGTCGCCGTCGTCAGGCTTGCTATGCAGCGCGACAGGACCGACAGTTCGAGACGAGTCTAGCCGCGGCGACGCAGGACCCCGCCAGTGGCCCCAAACAGGCGGAACTCGTCCAAACCGTCCGATCCCGTTCGCAATCCTTTCTCCAAAGCTAAGTATCGATCCCCGCCTTGCGTGTGTGTGTGTGTGCATGTGTGCGTGTGTGCGTGCGTGTGAGAGTCGTTGGGCTGGATCGATCCGTGAGGGTCCCAGAGCCTGAGGCTGGTCCGAAAACAATCGTCGCGATTTAAGCGAACAATATTGTGGTGTTGGGCCCCCGCTTGAATACGCAGCACCCCGAGTCACCTCACTCACTCCTGCCCCCCCCACACGACCTACCTCTCACACACCATTTCGGCACATCGCTCACACGGTTCGTGTCCCCATCGGGAGTTCCACCTAAGGTTCCCAGCAGGTGCGACCACATGCGGCCGCCCCAGCAATTTCGGCACACGACCCACACGCCACACACTTCGTGGACCCATAACGAGGTCGAGCTAAAGCCCCAGTGGGTGCAACTACATGCGGTCGCCCAACCCGTTTCGGCACACCACTCACACCGCGCGTGTCGATGCCCCACAAAGGGGGATCCACCTACTTCGTAAGGCCCCAGTGGGTACGTCCACACGCGGCTGCCCAACCCGTGTCTGCACACCCCTCACACGTTTCGTGTTCACATGCGGTGGTTCCCGGCCTTGCCGTGAGGTCGCGCTCCTTCTGTCCCCCCCTCTGTTAATTCAAGCTTCGCGCGGCCAGCTTAGCTTCGACCAGAAGAGGTGCGCTCTCGACCCGCGAATCAAAAAAAAGTGTTCACATGCGGTGTTCCGTACATGCGCCTGCTCCACCCACGCGCCCCTCACACGTGTCGTGGCCCCATCGGGAACCCTTTTTAAGGTTACAAGGGGGATGCGTCCACGTGCGGCCGCCCCGACCATTGCGGCGCGGATCTCTCGAACGATCCGTGGCCCCATCGTGAGCTCCACCGAAGGCACCAGTGGGTGCGTCTGCTTGTGGTCGCTCCGCCCATTTGGCACAGCCCTCACACGCTTCGTGGCCTCGCCTGAGGCCCCAGTGGTTGCGCCTGGCCCCCATACGGAGGTCCACCTGAGGACCCCAGCGGGTGCAACCGTATGCAGCCCCCCACCCATGTCGGCACACCCGTCACACGATTCGTGGCACCATGGTGAGAGCTCCACCGACAGCCTCAGTGGGTGCATCCACATGCGGCCCCCCCGCCCATGTCAGCACACCCCTCACACGTCTCGTGGCCCCTAGGGGGCTCCCTCTCCTTCGTCCCACTTGTCTTGCGGCACTTTCACTTAATATGATTAGGTCCTTCGCGAGGATAGTTCAGCAATGCACGGATCTAAGGTTCAGCGTGGTCATTGTCGTCGTCTTTCGACAAAATCCGCTCCAAATCGGTCCCCAGACGCCCACCAGGTCTACCCTGGCCAGTGTTTCGAGCTGCATCCAGCGTTGGTGGAGCAATCCTTCCAGTCAGGCCCGAAGACCTCCGAAATTAAGCCGAGGATACCATCGTCGACGAAGTCGTCGCCGCCGTTGTCCCTGAATTGAAGCATTGTTATCGATCACAGCCGGAGCCCTGCGGCATTTCTCGAGCCAGATCGATCCGTGAGGACCCTGAGGCCCGAAACTATGCGGAAACGCCCAGTGAAAAAGTTGCAAGGCCCGGATCTCAGGGTCGTTGTCGTTGCCGCCCGCCGCAGGCTGTATCCCGTGCCCGACTTCGGCGCCGGCTACCCGCAGGATCTGCTCGCCACCCTGCAGCTGACCGGCCTCAGCCAGGGGACGTACGGGGTGCTTCGCGGGATGGAGGCGCATCACCCGCCGTCTGCCCTCCCCCCCCCTCTGCCGCCCTCTCCTCGGGACCTTCCCGGGGCCCTCCTCACCCACATGCGCTCGCGCCGTAAAGAAACAAACACGACGCGAGGCCAGCTTCGGCAGCTTTCCGCCTCTGGGGGCACTCCCCAGGCCCGGCGACCGTCCACAAGCAGCTCGGGATGAAAGCGCCGCTGGCCCTGCTGGGGCAAGGGCCAGGCCTTCTGCGGACCCCGGATTTGCAAACAAAAACGAGCATCGCTTGTTTGGATACCGATATGTTCGATTCTAGTGTGGCTCTGTTTCGGCTCTAGTTCGATTCAAGTTCGACTCGAGTCAACGGACATTCGACGCAGCATCTAGGAGGGAGAGGCTCAAGGGAGGTCCCCAAGGCGAGCATCTGACTCCACCTCCATGGTCCCTCCTCCCTGCTCCTGCCATTTGGCCTCCCCTGCAGCCCGCACGCGCAGGAGGAGGGGAACGTGGGAGGGCGGGGGGAGGAGAGACCCTGAGATCTGGGCGGTGGAATGTTTTCCCACCGGGCGCTTTCCTGCTGTTTCGGGCCGCGGGGCCATTACGGAAAATGCCGCCGAAGGATGGTGTCCTGGGCTTTGGTCGTGTGTTTCAGCGATGCTGCAGTTTGTCCGTGACGTCGGGTCTCAGGGGAGGGAGGCGGGACGAGGACATTGTTTTGTTAGTTCTCTGTCGCGTAGCAGACGTGACCAGGCCACGCCCCCTCTCCCGTGAGGTACAGATCGTACGTGAAGGGAGGGCATGGACCCCTCCACACATGCATGCTGGTGCTGCGCGCACACTCTGGAGATCGCAGCTCACCTCCGCCCCGACGTGCCCCACCCAGCCACAGCGCTGCCATTACAGTGGGAACCCATGGCAAGAAACACCCTGCTTGCCTCCAGGGTGCCTTTGGTTAATTGGGTTTCGATGCCTTCGTTATGGAAAGCGTGACGTTCGCACGCCAACATCAATGGACGTCCTGCGGTCTCAGGGTTGGGTTTCTCGTGGAAGGTTCCTTGTGGTCGAGCTTCTACTGCACCCCGGGGCCCCAACCCCCCTTCCCTCCCGTGTAACGACCAGATGATTGGACGTAAGAGAAGAGCAGCCCCGAGGGAGGACGGGGGACGCGGATTCCTCCTCCAGGTGAGCGTTTTTTATTTGTTATTTTGCCGATCGGCGCGGGCCCTCGCACCCCCTCCCTGGAGTAGATCTTGGCTGTTTTTGGCGCCTGTTTCGAGCAGGTGGAATCTCCCCCATAGGACGCACGGTCCCAAACAGTCGCGCTAAGAAGAGGTCCAAGGCCAGACCCCCCTCCTCCCCCCCCCCTTCCGCCCAATGCCGAAACGCCGACTAGAAACACGTTCACCAGGAGGGCTCTTGACGTTTCTGGCCTCCCTCGCGCTTCTCTGGGGGGGGGGCCGGGTTCCCCGGAGGTCCAGGCCCAGGGGGACCGCGCTTCGCGCGGCCCAGCGCGCGAGCGTGCTTCCTCGTGTCTCCAGGAGGCGGCGCGGGTGGAGGTGGCCCAGGGGGAGGCGCACCCGTCGGCCGTTGAAAGTAGGCACATCTCTAGGCCTCTTAGATGGGGTCCGAGCAGATGGGGTCGGAGGATCGTGCCGCATCGCCGATGCATCGACGATGCGGCTCGATGTGGAGACCGTGCTTCCCACGCCGACGTCGCCGATGCATCGCCGATGCCTTGACGATACATCGGCGATGCACTGGCGGTGCGGCGCGATCCTTCGACCACATCTACTCGGACCCCGTCTAGGAGGCCTCTGATATCTGGATTCCCAGATCCCATCCTACTTCTAGCACCCTCCTACTTCAAGAGTCAGCATGGTTTGCATGTGTTCTGAGATTCTCCCGGAGGGCCTGGCCCCGAACTTCTTTATCCGCTTTCCTATTTCATGTGTTTCCCTACTTCTTCCGACCGACGTGTAATTGCGCTGGTTGGGGAGCGGAGCGACGACGCCGACGACGGCGACGACGCCGAGGCCGAGACTCAGACGAGGAAAAGTTTCCCTTACGGCCACCCTTGCCTCGTCTTCGCCTTCTCGCGTCCTTGGGAGGCCCTCGCCTCCACGGCTGGGTCCGCCTCGAGGTCTGGGTCCGAAGGCACCCCGGGAGAGATCTTGGGAGCAGCGGTGCCCGTACCCCCTTGGGTTCCCCAGAGAAGCGAGGAGGGGAACATGGGGGGGAGGAGAAGGAAGAGGAGGGCCTGGCGGAGAGGTTGGTTCTCAGCCTCCCAGATGGGGTCAGAGTAGATGGGGCCCTGAGGTTCGCGCCGCATAGCTGATGTATCGGCGATGCGGCTCGATGTGGAGCCCGGTAGTCTCCATGCCGACGTCGCCGATGCATCGTCGATGTCGACGCGATGCGGCGCGATGCTCCTACACCATGGGTGCCCTCCCACGGTCGCGCGTTGAAACCAGTGACCGTCCGAGATCGAGCTTCCTTGCAAGGAGCCTTCACCAAGTTGGTCCATGTGCTGTTCGCGTAGAAAGCCCAGCAACTGGAAAGCACAACACTTGCGATCCTGAGGTGCGTCGGCGGAAATGGATGAGTTGGTTTTCTCTTCTTCTCTTTACTACTGTCATGGCCATTAAGATCAATCTTAGTATTACGACTATCATTAGTACGGTTGTTATTGTAATTATTACTCGTGGCAGCATTATTGGTACTCTTATGTGTTGTATTATTCACATTGTGCATCACTCATGATCATCATCAGCATCACCATTCGCATCATCACCATCACCCGATATTAGATGATGCTAATGAGAGATCAAAGCAGGAGGATATGGAGACTCAGGAGTAGGGGTAGTATGGTGATGGTGATGGCGATGGTGATGAAGACGAGATGGTGATGATGATGATTATGATGGTGGTGGTGGTAATGATGGCGGTGGTGACGATGTTGATGATGATGCAGATGATGATGATGAGGATGATGATGGTGGTGCTGCAAGCGCTGCTGCTGCTGCGGATGATGATGATGCTGATGGTGACGGTGATGATGGTGATGATGGTGACGATGATGATAATGTTGATATTGATGATGATGCTGATGATGACGGTGATGGTCGTTGTGATGATTAGTATGATGATTATGATGATGGTGATGATTGTAATGGTGATGGTGATGATGATGATGATGATGATGATGACCATGCCACTGCTGCTGACGATGATGATGACGATGTTGCTGATGATGCTGATGATTATGATAAAGCTTATGATGGTGATGCGAATGATGATAATGATGCTGATGATGATGGTGATGGTGATGGCGATGGTAATGATGATGACGAGGAATCTGCTGATAATGAGGATGATGATGATGATGATGGTGGTGGTGGCGGTGGTGATGATGGTGATGGTGATGATGTTGTTGATGATGCTGATGATGGCGGTGGTGCTGCTGGTGCTGCTGCTGCTGCGGATGATGGTTGTGATGATGATGGCGATGATGCTGATGCTGTTTATGAAGATGATGATAATGATAATGATGATGATGATGATGATGATGCTGATGATGATGATGATGATGATGATGATGATTATGTTGGTGGTGCTAGGACGATGCTGCTGATCGTGATATTGATGATTGCCATGATGATAATTATGCTGATGCTGATAATAATTATGATGATGATGCTGATGATGCTGATGATGATGATGATGATGCTGATGATGATGATGATGGTGATGCGAATGATGATGCTGGTGATGATTATGGTGATGGTGATGGTGACAATGATGACCATGCTGCTGCTGCTGATGATGATGTTGATGATGATGATGCTGACATGGTGGTTGTTGTGTTGAGGATGGTGGTGGTGGTGGTGGTGATGACGATAATGATGGTGACGATGATGAGCGTGATGCTGATTCTGATGATGAGGATGATGCTGCTGCTGCCTTTGCTGCCGATGATGATGATGATGATTCTCATGATTATGTGATGATGGTGATGATAATGATGATGCTGCTGCTGATGACGATGATGTCGACGACGAGGAGGAGGCAGAGGAGGAGGACGAGGAGGAGGACGAGGAGAGGCCAGAGGAGGGGAAGGAGGACTGCGATTTCGCGTTTGCCCGAGGAGGCGGCTATGATCGACGACTCCGACAGCAGCTCGAGCATCGGGGCAGCCAAAGCCGCAGTCACGGACGATATCCAGCCTCCCCTTCTTTCCGCTTTCCTCTTCTTCCCCTTTCCGCTTTCCTTTTCCGCGTTCCTCTTTTCCTTCTTATGGAGAGAAGGGTTCTCGAGATGTTTTGCCGGTTACGGCCACCAGGAAAGTCTCGTGGTCCAAGACCTGCTTCCACCAGGACCCTCTCTGTCTTGTTCCGATGCCCTTGTCCCTAGTCTTCGCCTCTTGGCTCCTCCGGGGAGCCCTCGTCGCCACGGGTCGGTCCGCCTCGAAAGCCTACCGGAATAGCAGAACGCACCTTCGGAGCGGTCCGAGAGGTACCGGTAATGGTATTAGGTTGCTGTCCCATCACCCCGCATCCTGCCCCCCCTCCTCCCCTTTCTCTCTCCCTCTCCCCGCTCTGCGATCGAAAAGCACCGGGTGCCGTTGCCCTGGATGCTCTAAACGCCAGCGCAGAGCGCTGGTGAAACCTATGGTCAACGCCCCACCTCCTTCCTCCCCTCCTCTCCCCAATCAGGACCCTCCCCCTCTGATGCACCCTCCATCCACCTTCCCCTCCCGCCTCGTCCTCCCCTCAAGGCTCTTGGGAGGTCCTAGGAGGACCCCGGAGGCCTCCGGCTGCCCCGGGAGACAGGAGAAGCGCCCGAAGCCTTCAGACTCTGACACCCCGATCGTGCCCTGATCCCCTGCTCTCCTACACATCCGACGCCACTCTTCACCACCCACCAAACCACCCCAACCCAACCCAAAGGCCTCAATTTGTCCTCCATTTCCAGTTGGGG